ATAACTGAGGTCCTCCATGCCCCATAACTGAGCTCCTCCATCCCCCATAACTGAGGGTCCTCCACCCCCCATAACTGAGGGTCCTCAATTCCCCATAACTGAGAGTCTTCCATCCCCCATAACTGAGCTCCTCAATTCCCCATAACTGAGGTCCTCCATGCCCCATAACTGAGCTCCTCCATCCCCCATAACTGTGGGTCCTCCACCCCCCATAACTGAACTCCTTAATTCCCCATAACTGAGGGTCTTCCACCCCCCATAACTGAGCTCCTCAATTCCCCATAACTGAGGGTCTTCCACCCCCCATAACTGAGCTCTCCTCCACTCCCCCATAACCAAGCTCCTCAATTCCCCATAACTGAGCTCCTCCACCCCCCATAACTGAGCTGCTCCACTCCCCCATAACCAAGCTCCTCAATTCCCCATAACTGAGCTCCTCCACCCCCCATACCTGAGCTCCTCCATCCCCCATAACTGAGGTCCTCCATGCCCCATAACTGAGCACCTCCATCCCCCATAACTGAGGGTCCTCCACCCCTCGTAACTGAGAGTCCTCCACTCCCCCATAACAAAGCTCCTCAAATCCCCATAACTGAGCTCCTCCATCCCCCATAACTGAGGTCCTCCATGCCCCATAACGGAGCACCTCCACCCCTCGTAACTGAGCTCCTCCATCTCCCATAACTGAGGTCCTCCACCCCCCATAACTGAGGGTCCTCCATTCCCCATTACTGTGGGTCCTCCACCCCCCCATAACTGAGCTCCTCCATCCCCCATAACTGAGGGTCCTTCATCTCCCATAACTAAGCTCCTCCATCCCCCCCTAACTGAGGGTCCTCCATCACCCATAATGGAGCTCCTCCATCCCCCATAGATAAGCTCCTTCATCCCCCATAACTGAGCTCTTACGCCCCCATAACTAAACTCCTCTTTCCCTCATATCTTAGGGTCCTTCATCCCCCATAACTGAGCTCCACCATCCCCCATAACTGAGCTCCTCCATAACTGAGCTCCTTCATTCCCCATAACTGAGCTTAATTCCCCATAAGTGATGGTCCTCCATCCCCCATAACTGTGGGTCTTCCATCCTAATAACTGAGCTCCTCCATCCCCCATAACTGAGCGTCCTCCATCCCTCACAACTGAGGGTCCTCCATGCCCCAAAACTGAGGGTCCTCCATCCCTCACAACTGAGGATCCTCCATCCCTCACAACTGAGGGTCCTCCATATCCTGTAATTGAGGGTCCTTCATCCCTCATAACTGATGTCCTCCATCTTTCATTACGAGGGTCCTCCATCCCCATAACCAAGGGTCCTTCATTCCCCATAACTGAGCTCCTCCATCCCCAAAATTGTGCCTCCTCCATCCCCCATAACTGAGCTCCTCCATCAACTTATTCGTTTTGTTGCCCTTCTCCGGACTCTCCAGTTCCAGTACATCCTGAGGACTGGTGACCAGAAATGGACAGCATACTCACGATGTCTCCACTCCTTCCTGTAGTTTTCTTTAGTGGGTGGAGCCTATTGGGCCCCTCCCACAGCTTTGCTCTCTGTACAGGATCTGTACAGCACAGTGATGATGGCACGTCTACATTTACAAGGTAATATCTGGGTTTGTAAAGTCATGTGGTGCACACACAGTACATTTCCCCCCAGATATGGGGGGTGGGATTGGGGGGGTAGTCTCACTGGTAACATATCCCAGAGGTACAGGAATCCAGGGGCTTGCTCAGCACTCCAGGTTCCACCTCTACCTAAAATATCACTTCTTGGTGGAGTGACTCTCTGGGGTGGATCCTGGAATGGATTTATGGACAGGTTTTTCCCCCTGCAGATGAAATCTATACTCCATTATTTCTCTTGCAGAGTAAAGCCGGCTCCTGCATATCAATCAGCCGGCTGCTCCTGCCCTCATTTCAACTCTCAGCCATAAACCGGCCTGGAGCCACAATTCAGGGCTTCTTTATGTGGCTCCCGTCTTTCACACTTTCCCCCTCCGTCCCCCTCGCCTCTCATTCTCACAAAAGCCAGCAATGTACAGTGTGTGTATTACACTAATGAGGAGCTGACCCCCTTTAATATATGGGCCCCCCCAAGTCTGCAGGCGGTGGGCCGCACACATCACCACTAATAATTAATGCATCTGCATGTTGCATAACACCTAGAAAGCTCTATGAGCGCCTCCTGCTCGGCACCCATCAATATTACATTACCTCGGCTGAGGCCAGGATGCAGATCCATGAAATATTCAATCTGGGCCTTAAAAATGCAGAATTCTGCGAGACGGCGAACGTGTTGTGTAGAAGATCCGGGAGAGCAGAGAATATCATACATAGAATACACGGATCACACCGGGATCTGACAACTGCTGGGGAAATAAAATACAAATATTAATCATCCATCTGCTTTGTACAATAAAGAAAACCGTCCCCCGTCCCCCCCCCAGGATTTTACTTGTGCCCCCCCGAGTGCATCCACTGAATCCACTGAATCATGAGCCAGTCTGATGCAGACAGTTGATGGGGACCCTGCTGTACGGGGTGCTCTTATGGGGACCCTGATGTAGGGGGCGCTCTGATGGGGACCCTGATGTAGGGGGCGCTCCGATGGGGACCCTGATGTAGGGGGCGCTCTGATGGCGACCCTGATGTAGGTGGCGCTCTTATGGCGACCCTGATGTAGGGGGCACTCTGATGGCGACCCTGATGTAGGGGGCGCTCTGATGGCGACCCTGATGTAAGGGGAACTCTGATGGGGACCCTGATGTAGGGGGCGCTCTGATGGCGACCCTGATGTAAGGGGAACTCTGATGGGGACCCTGATGTAAGGGGGCACTCTGATGGGGACCCTGATGTAAGGGGGCACTCTGATGGGGACTCTGATGTAGGGGGCGCTCTGATGGTGACCCTGATGTAAGGGGGAACTCTGATGGGGACCCTGATGTAAGGGGGAACTCTGATGGGGACCCTGATGTAAGAGGCGCTCTGATGGGGACCCTGATGTAAGGGGACACTCTGATGGGGACTCTGATGTAGGGGGCGCTCTGATGGTGACCCTGATGTAAGGGGGAACTCTGATGGGGACCCTGATGTAAGAGGCGCTCTGATGGGGACCCTGATGTACGGGGCGCTCTGATGGGGACCCTGATGTAAGGGGGAACTCTGATGGGGACCCTGATGTAAGGGGGAACTCTGATGGGGACCCTGATGTAAGGGGGAACTCTGATGGGGACCCTGATGTAAGAGGCGCTCTGATGGGGACCCTGATGTAAGGGGGCACTCTGATGGGGACTCTGATGTAGGGGGCGCTCTGATGGGGACCCTGATGTAAGGGGGAACTCTGATGGGGACCCTGATGTAAGAGGCGCTCTGATGGGGACCCTGATGTAGGGGGCGCTCTGATGGTGACCCTGATGTAGGGGGCGCTCTGATGGTGACCCTGATGTAAGGGGGAACTCTGATGGGGACCCTGATGTAAGAGGCGCTCTGATGGGGACCCTGATGTAGGGGGCGCTCTGATGGTGACCCTGATGTAGGGGGCGCTCTGATGGGGACCCTGATGTAAGGGGGCACTCTGATGGGGACTCTGATGTAGGGGGCGCTCTGATGGGGACCCTGATGTAAGGGGGAACTCTGATGGGGACCCTGATGTAAGAGGCGCTCCGATGGGGACCCTGATGTAGGGGGCGCTCTGATGGCGACCCTGATGTAGGTGGCGCTCTGATGGCGACCCTGATGTAGGGGGAACTCTGATGGGGACCCTGATGTAAGGGGGCGCTCTGATGGCGACCCTGATGTAAGGGGAACTCTGATGGGGACCCTGATGTAAGGGGGCACTCTGATGGGGACCCTGATGTAAGGGGGCACTCTGATGGGGACTCTGATGTAGGGGGCGCTCTGATGGTGACCCTGATGTAAGGGGGAACTCTGATGGGGACCCTGATGTAAGGGGGAACTCTGATGGGGACACTGATGTAAGAGGCGCTCTGATGGGGACCCTGATGTAAGGGGGCACTCTGATGGGGACTCTGATGTAGGGGGCGCTCTGATGGGGACCCTGATGTAAGGGGGAACTCTGATGGGGACCCTGATGTAAGAGGCGCTCTGATGGGGACCCTGATGTAGGGGGCGCTCTGATGGTGACCCTGATGTAAGGGGGAACTCTGATGGGGACCCTGATGTAAGAGGCGCTCTGATGGGGACCCTGATGTAAGGGGGAACTCTGATGGGGACCCTGATGTAAGAGGCGCTCTGATGGGGACCCTGATGTAAGGTCGAACTCTGATGGGGACCCTGATGTAAGAGGCGCTCTGATGGGGACCCTGATGTAAGGGGGAACTCTGATGGGGACCCTGATGTAAGGGGGAACTCTGATGGGGACCCTGATGTAAGGGGGAACTCTGATGGGGACCCTGATGTAAGAGGCGCTCTGATGGGGACCCTGATGTAAGGGGGAACTCTGATGGGGACCCTGATGTAAGGGGGAACTCTGATGGGGACCCTGATGTAAGAGGCGCTCTGATGGGGACCCTGATGTAAGGGGGAACTCTGATGGGGACAAACAATAAAAGAGAAATAATTCCCAGCTCAGCTTACCGACCATCTTGCGCACAAACTGAATTGTCCCGTCTAACAGTGTGCGTTAAAAACAGGGGTTTAGTTAGCACACATTTGGAAATCCATGCGTAAGCTGCAGAGTCTCGTCACGGCCCCCGATATTCTGCAGTTCCTAACTCTAAATTTTGAGAGCCCCCATAGTAGCCGCACTTGTATAAATGGATAGACTGAGGGCAGGTGAGCCGCAGGGAGCCCATCGCTCCTTAAAGGTACAGGGGCGCACTGGACACCCAGCATGTAGCACAATGTACTGTTGATATGCTGGTGAGGGGACACACTGGACACCCTGGCTGCCATTGTAAAGGGGGACTCTGACGGTGACCCTGATGTAGGGGGCACTCTGATGGGGAAATCTGATCTAAGGAGGTACTCTGATGGGGACACCTGATCTAAGGAGGCACTCTGATGGGGACACCTGATGTAAGGGGGAACTCTGATGGGGACACCTGATGTAAGGGGGAACTCTGATGGGGATACCTGATGTAAGGGGGAACTCTGATGGGGATAGCTGCTGTAAGGAGGCACTCTGATGGTGACCCTGATGTAAGAGGTGACTCTGATGGTGACCCTGATGTAAACTGGGACTCTAATGGGGACCCTGATGTAAGGGGGCACTCTGATGGGGACCCTGATCTAAGGGGGCACTCTGATGGGGACCCTGATCTAAGGAGGCACTCTGATGGGGATACCTGATGTAAGGGGGCAAACTCTGATGGGGACCCGGATGTAAGAGGGCACTCTGATGGGGACACCTGATGTAAAGAGGCACTCTGATGGGGACACCTGATGTAAGGAGGCATTCTGATGGGGACCCTGATGTAAGGAAGCATCTGACGGGGATACCTGATGTAAGGGGCCACTTTGATGGAGATGCCTGATGTAAGGGGGACTCTGATGGGGACACCTGGTGTAAGGGGGGACTCTGATAAGGACATCTGATATAAGGGGGCACTCTGATGGGGACACCTGGTGTAAGGGGGCACTCTGATGGGGACACCTGGTATAAGGAGGCACTCCGAAGGGGATACCTGATGTAAGGGGGCACGTTGATGAGGATTCCTGATGTAAGGGGGCACCCTTATGAGGATTCCTGATGTAAAGGCGCACTCTGATGGGGACACCTGGTGTAAAGGGGCACTCTGATGGGGACATGTGATATAAGGGGGCACTCTGATGGGGACACCTGGTGTAAAGGGGCACTCTGATGATGGGGACATCTGATATAAGGGGGCACTCTGATGGGGACACCTGGTGTAAAGGGGCACTCTGATAAGGACATCTGATATAAGGGGGCACTCTGATGGGGACACCTGGTGTAAAGGGGCACTCTGATGGGGACATCTGATATAAGGGGGCACATGCTCTGTGGAATCACCCTAATCTAATGCCTAATACATAATAGTGTTTTTAGGGTCATGACACCATGTGACAGACAGTCTGTGACTCACACACAGTGATGACATTGTGCCCCCTGAGTTTTTTTTACTGCACCCCCAGATCAAGTAGGTTTGAGCTGACCCGGTCTTTCTTTCTGTTCCTAATTCTGCCCTCTATATCCCCACTTTCCTCCTTTCTTCCTGGAAAATGTGCTGGACCTCAATGTGTGTATATGAGGATATAGTTTCTATAAGAGTATACTATAGTGTGTATATACAGAATATGGAGTCCCCCTTTAAGGTGCCTACAGACATGAGAATCCTGACAAACAACATCTGTATGTTCTTTGCACAGCTGGGAAATACCTCCAGATGGCTGCCCCAAGTTGGAGGACATCTTGGATTGCTTTGTCCTGTTGGTGTCTATGTGAGGGAAATCTGGTGCTATCCAATCCCTCCTCACTTCCATGTTTGGTGTCCGCTTCCCCGCGATTCTGGTTGGATAGCTGGAGCTGCATTCATGGCGGACATGTTACCAGAAGAATCCAATGAGTAAATAATTCTAAGAAGAAAGAAACGTCTGAGAATTGTTCATTTCCAGGGAGATCTTCCGATGTGGAGGGACTTGTAGACCCGGCTGTCCACCTCCATGATTAATCGTTCATGTGAAGTTCTGTCACCGAGCCGCACGCTGGACTTTTATTGTGATTAATCATCTCAAAGGACGGAGGTGAGAAAAGGACTTGGTGTCACTCAGGTGTCACCGCCATCACTTTGTCTATTAATTACAACACTTTCCCCAGAACATCTAGAACATTATTACTCCCATTGAAGGAGTCACTACGAAGCATAATAAACAGACCCGTCACAGCCAATCAGATCTGGAAGACTACATAACGATACAATGTTACATATACAGTATATATAATAAAGCTGAACTCCGGGCAGATATTAAAGACACATTAACCCTTCCATTGCCAGAGCTGTTTTTTGTACATGTTTACAATAATTTCAGGCCTGAAGATCACATAATCCCCCAAATATGATATATTTTCTGAAAGCAGAGAATAAAATAGCGTTCGTTCCAATTTTTAATGTCACACAATGTTGGTGCCATAAGTTATCAATCACACAATTTCAGTAAAAAATACCTTAAAGTTCATTTCAGAGCACATAAACACCAACATACACTCACCGGTCCCTTTATTGGGTCCACCTTGCTGGTACCGGGTTGGACCCCCTTTTGCCTTCATTCTTCGTGGCATAGATTCAACAAGGTGTTGGAAACATTCCTCAGAGATTTTGGTCCATATGGACATGAGTTACTGTTGCCTTTCTATCATCTGGAAGCAGTCTGCCCATTCTCCTCTGACATCATGAAGGCACTTTCCTCCACACAACTGCCCCTCACTGGATATTTTCTGTTTTATGGACCATTCTCTGTAAACCCTAGAGATGGTTGTGCGGGAACATCCCAGGAGATCAGCAGTTTTTGAAATACGCAGACCAGCCCCTTCTGTCCCCATTCTGATGCTCGGTTTGGATTTCAGCACGTCTAGAGGTCTAAATACATTGAGTTGCTGCCATGTGATTGGCTGATTAGCAATTTGTGTTACCAAGCCATTGGACAGGTGGACCCAATAAAGTGTCCAGTGAGTGAATGACCCAATTTTTTGGTAAAATATAAACAATGAGGTTTCGCCGAGTAAACAGACACCCAGCATGTCATGCCTTCAACATTTGTGTGCTGGTGAAACAGACAACCTTCAGTACCGTATAGTTTCCATAGGCAACGCTTTCTAAGCCCCTCCAGGTCATCAGTCTGGAGAGAAATGTGAATGGAATTATTGATCTCACCATGCAAAGTGATAGGTAACATGTGGAGCGCAATTGATATTTTCCTTCATAGGCGCCCCAACGTGTTTGTTTAGATTTGAATGTACATATGTGTGGGGGTTGGGTGGGTCATAATTTTTTTTTTTTTTTTGGGGAGGGGGGGTTAAGTGTTTGGGAGTAACTTTATTTTTTTACACTTTTTTGCACTAAACATTATTTTTTATTACATAGGGGACAAAAAGTTCCCTACGTGATCCTATTTTGCCACAGCAGGTTCTTTTTAATGGGACATCAGGGAACGATGAGCCCTCTTATGTCTCACCTGCCCTCCACTGAACCTAATGAATAAAAGATCCAGCCACAGTGGCCAGGAAAAGTGACAGCAGAAACCAGTAGTGATGTCACTTCCAGGTTCTTACTAGGTAGGAAACAGTGCCAGATTACCAAATAGGCAGAGTAGGCACCAGCCTATGGGCCTCACAACATCGAAGGGCCCCGCCACAATGGATCAAAATAATATGAATTTTATGTTGAAAGAAAAATGATATCAAAGCTTTCTTAAATTGTTTATAAAGGATGGCAAAACAGGAATCAACTCGAAGAAAGGAAAACTTTCCATTAAAAGCTCTATAGAGAAAATCCTGTGTTCATGTCATGTACCTGTAGCACTTACCCCTTCAGGAGCCACGGGTGGGGATGGGTCCTCTGTTCTGCCACAACTCTTAAAGTTGCTCAGTCCCCACTGACACTCCCGGTTCTAGGCAGTAGGTCGCTCACACTCGTGTAACTTAAGTGTTGGTATGCTGCTCTATATAACAGTACACAGGAGACAAGCCAAACAGATGGTGGTTGATTCAAAGAATAAATGTATTCAATTAATTCAGTTAAATAGTAAAGCATAAATCAATGAATAGGCAGTCAGAGTTCAATATTCTGAACTGGATAGATGAACACTAATCCATAATCTGGCAATAAATGTAACTGTAGCAATATTAAACCAAACTATAGCTGGGTTAAAGTATTGGCGTCAACGAATACAAGAAAACAAAGGTCCACCCATGCATACTGAACATACAGCTCCAATATGTGTTCCAAATTAAGGTGCACCCCTGGGAGTGGCTGCAAATTACCTAGAGCCGAATTGTCAGTGTTGTCCAGCTTTCCTTGGGGCCTTTCTGTAGATGGTGCACATGAAGATGTCCCTTTAAGTGTATGTGGGTAATAGTTGTCAGATGAGCTGCTAAGGAGGAACAGTCTCTATTGCGTTAACAGTGTGTTGCAAGAGTTTAAGATGTGTAGTTCAGCTCACCACTCCAAGCAGCCGACAGGTCTGGTTCCATATGTTTGGCAGTCAGCAGTTCTCTGAACTCAGGTCCAGAATATTGTAGGTAAAATCATTGTGTATGACTCATGGTAGTTGTGGGAGTCTGTGATTAGCTCGTGTTACTGAAGGTCAGCTGGATGACATAACAGGTTGTGGCGCTATCGCCTCCTCCTGACTCTGGAGGACCATGGAACTGTCCGGAAGTCAGTAAGAAGGAAGGGGTGGAGACCTGATTTGCATGTTCATGGGAGTCTAACCAATCCCAGGTTTGGAGGCCCTGGTAGAGTGATGGATTGGCCCATAAATATGGGACAGTCAGGCTGACAGAGGAGTTGGGTGAAAGATGGAGTGCTGAGGAGATTGGCGGTGCCTTGGATGGGTCCCCTAGGTCTGGGGGGGGGCAGCCTTCAGTCTGGGCTCGGGCTGTCTTAGGAGGATACATTCAGCAGTGAGGTGTGAATGGGATTTAGACCTGCAGCAGCAGGGAGCAAAGTGGACAGAGTGAGTACAGCAGTGCTCTCTGGATCTACAAGGGGAATGACTGCCGCACGTAGCAAGATTTCTAAAGGACAGCGCTGGGCTCAATCCTTTATCCTCGTCCCAGGAGATCTTCCGAGAAGCCAGGAGAGCTGGTACTGCTTGCAGGCTGTGGAGCTGGGAGCAGCTCTGTAGGGGAAGAAAAGACATCTCTGCATGTCGCTTTGAGCAGTTAAGCTGATTTTTGAGGGGCTGTGAGTGCCTCGCCCATAAGGAGCCACTGCCGATCCACAACGACTGCCGGCTTTCAGGAAAAGAACAGTCCAGGATCTGCTTTGTACATAGGAGGGAAGTGTCCCCCTTACACTGATTCAAGCCAATTGGGCATCCTATAATCCCTATTTCCCTATCCAAGTTGATTCCCCCCATGGACTGGATACTGTCCCTTGGATGCAAGTTTGTGCGAGAAATACCTGTTGCCTGGCTGTGCGGAGAGAAGCATAGGGGTACCCACAATGCAGCGGCCCTCACAGAGGTAGGCACTCACAGCAGCGGGTCTCTCAGCGTTAGTCCCAAGGCACAGCTAGCGATCCCTCTGCGTCTCAGTCCTCAGGCTCTTATGGGCACAGCAAGAGCACCCGGTGTCTGTACAGGCTCAGCAAAGGCAATGTGTCCATGCAGCTCAGCCCCCTCCATGCAGCTCAGCCCCCTCCTGCAAAACACCCAACAGTCTCCAGCTTTTATGGGGACAACAGTCTTTCTCTCCTCCCATGAGTGCTGGGTTTGTGGGTAGAGAAGTCTACAGCCCATTAGCCTCAATTGACATGTATAGTGCAGCGTCCCTTTAAGGACTACAGTTCAAATGATCCGACAGTCACCTTGTCAGATTTCCACATTCCCGGCTGCTGTTGTCCTATTACATACATTGGTGTCAATGAAAGGGTTAATGCAGCTCTTTCTTCATGAATACATCAAACATATGTTTTTCAATGGGGGCAGAGTATGTAAATACCTGGATGTGACATGGTGTGGGCCTCCTGTAGTCTCTGTACAGC